GGATAGGGGCGTTTCACGATGCGTATGTTATCTGCAGTAACATTGCGGGAACATGATTATAACACATTGTAAAATACAGCACGTTGGTGTTGAACCGGACAAATGCGTGTAACAGATCCGTCTATATGAAAGTGCATTTGAATTTGAATACACGGAACTAGTTTACGCTTAACGTATCACTGTGATATTAAGAACACGAAGTGATAAAATTCGCGAAAAAGGAGAAAAGCGCGAGAGTGGAAATATGAATGAAATCGCGTCGAAGATTTATGAATTAATGAGCAATTCACAATTACGTATCCGTTTAACTTTACCGAACCTCATGTTCTAATTATATCTCATTTAACTAAGAAGTCAGTTTAACCAGTTCAAAGTTCAAATACGGAACTCGATTCCTATGTTGTTAAATGAGCATGCGTCACATAAATTTTTAAGGGACTTGCACACATAAATAATAAATATATAAATGTACTTTCTCACATGATTACAACTCCACCAAAAATCTTGCAAGCATTATACATCCTTAGCGAGTCCTTGCATTATGAATTCGGTTGAGTGTGTACAAAATTGTGTCGGGCAGTTTCACAAAAATGAATCAAATCGTCGTAAAGTTTTCACTATGAAGAAGGAGTTTCCAACTTGCGATGAGAAATCACCACGAAGATCAACAAAGTGAAACACTTATCTCATGTACTCCACTGCGGTCGCGAGGATTAAGAAAACAGATCGAAGTATCGCGAGATCTCGACGCGCGTGCGAACGAGCGAACTTCCTCCTTACCGATCTAACGGGTGAATCACGGCCCCGTTAATCGACCCTGCCGGCTCACCCCGAAATTACGGAAAAGAGCCCCGCGTCTCTCTCTTTTTCCCTCGCCCTCTCGCTCGCGCTTTCTCTCTCTCTCTCTCTCTCTCTCTCGCTCGCTCTTTCTCTCTTTCTATCTCTCTCAATACGCGTGTGTGTTTCACCCCTATCCCCAGTGCGGTCTCTCGACGTTACACCGCGCGCACCACCGGTGCACGACGCGCGATACTCGACTCGCGCGTTGTAATGGTCGATCGCGGCTTCGACCCTCTTCCGAGCCATCGAACGGCCCGAACGCGGTCGGATTTTTCGACGTTTACTGCCTTTAGGCTCCTGGACCATGCGTCCGCATGCCCTCCCGCCTTCCACCAACCCCTCTCATCCCCATACACCCCCGGATACTCAAATTGACCCGTCGTGCTCGATCCATCCCCCTTCTACCCCTCTTCCGCCATCCGCAGCGAGCAGAGTCCTCCCCCTTCCACCCTCTGCCACCACCGCCGCCGCCGCCACCGCCGCCGCCGCCGCAA